CCCATCCCCACACCACTTGCATTCGGGCATCGGCTGTCCCCTCCAGCCACTCCTGTCACCTCCCCTCATCCCTATGCAGAACTCGTTGGGGCCCTGATGTACGCCATGGTCTGCACTCGTCCCGACCTTGCATACCCCGTCAGTGTCCTGGCGCGGTTTGTTGGCACTGGCAGGCATGGTGAGGAGCACTGGAAGGCGGCCATGCGTGTTCTGCGCTACCTCCAAGGCACAAAGGACTATGGCCTCACGCTTGGTGGTGTGGACCCACCTGTTCTTCAAGGCTTCAGTGACTCATCTTGGGCGGATGCACAGCCGGACCATCGCAGTTCTCAAGGATATGGCTTCTCCCTTGGGAGCGGCCTCATCAGCTGGCGCTCCACTCGCTCCTCCTCCGTCGCCCTCTCCTCCTGCGAAGCCGAGCTGTACGCAGTCACCATGGCGGCTCAAGAGGCACGCTGGCTTAGCTATCTTCTCACCGACCTTGGCTCACCACAGCCCTGCCCCACCCTGTGGTGTGACAACGATAGTACCATCCACCTCACCAAGGAGGCCGTCTTTCATGGTCGCTCCAAACACATCGAACTCCGCTACTACTTTGTCCGCGATCTTGTGCAAGATGGTCACATCACTGTTCGTAAAATCGACTCGTCCGCCAACCTCGCTGACCTCTTCACCAAGGCTCTCCATCGCTCTAACCACTCTGCGCTCCTGCATCTTCAGGGACTTGCTCCCCGCGGTGGCTGATTCAGGGGTTGTTGCGTTCTCTCTTCCAAAGCCTATGGATTTCTGCAGGTTAAGGGGTTGTGTCAGATTACCATCTTCATTGTAACCTGCATCATCATATAAGCTTTGACTAGAGATAGGCACCCAAACTTAGTTTGGGTGCACAACTAGGGTTTACCCTAGTTTGAGGTTGGAACCCAACCTTGGCCCAATTATTGGGCCCCCAAGGTTGGGTTGGGAGATTATTGGCCCCCCCAATAATGTTGACCCACTTTTGGTCAACATTATTGGTCCCCCCAATAACTCCTCAACCCAACTTATTGGTGGGGGCCAATAATGTTGGCATGGCTCCTACATCCTAGCTCAACTATGTAAACCCATGCCCTTCCTAATGAAACTATCGGTTGTTCTTACACTTTCTCACACTCACATGCCTAGCAGCACAGCCACTCACATGCCTAGCAGCACAGCCACTCACATGCCTAGCAGCACAGCCACTCACATGCCTAGCAGCACAGCCACTCACATGCCTAGCAGCACAGCCACTCACATGCCTAGCAGCACAGCCACTCACATGCCTAGCAGCACAGCCACTCACATGCCTAGCAGCACAGCCACTCACATGCCTAGCAGCACAGCCACTCACATGCCTAGCAGCACAGCCACTCACATGCCTAGCAGCACAGCCACTCACATGCCTAGCAGCACAGCCACTCACATGCCTAGCAGCACAGCCACTCACATGCCTAGCAGCACAGCCACTCACATGCCTAGCAGCACAGCCACTCACATGCCTAGCAGCACAGCCACTCACATGCCTAGCAGCACAGCCACTCACATGCCTAGCAGCACAGCCACTCACATGCCTAGCAGCACAGCCACTCACATGCCTAGCAGCACAGCCACTCACATGCCTAGCAGCACAGCCACTCACATGCCTAGCAGCACAGCCACTCACATGCCTAGCAGCACAGCCACTCACATGCCTAGCAGCACAGCCACTCACATGCCTAGCAGCACAGCCACTCACATGCCTAGCAGCACAGCCACTCACATGCCTAGCAGCACAGCCACTCACATGCCTAGCAGCACAGCCACTCACATGCCTAGCAGCACAGCCACTCACATGCCTAGCAGCACAGCCACTCACATGCCTAGCAGCACAGCCACTCACATGCCTAGCAGCACAGCCACTCACATGCCTAGCAGCACAGCCACTCACATGCCTAGCAGCACAGCCACTCACATGCCTAGCAGCACAGCCACTCACATGCCTAGCAGCACAGCCACTCACATGCCTAGCAGCACAGCCACTCACATGCCTAGCAGCACAGCCACTCACATGCCTAGCAGCACAGCCACTCACATGCCTAGCAGCACAGCCACTCACATGCCTAGCAGCACAGCCACTCACATGCCTAGCAGCACAGCCACTCACATGCCTAGCAGCACAGCCACTCACATGCCTAGCAGCACAGCCACTCACATGCCTAGCAGCACAGCCACTCACATGCCTAGCAGCACAGCCACTCACATGCCTAGCAGCACAGCCACTCACATGCCTAGCAGCACAGCCACTCACATGCCTAGCAGCACAGCCACTCACATGCCTAGCAGCACAGCCACTCACATGCCTAGCAGCACAGCCACTCACATGCCTAGCAGCACAGCCACTCACATGCCTAGCAGCACAGCCACTCACATGCCTAGCAGCACAGCCACTCACATGCCTAGCAGCACAGCCACTCACATGCCTAGCAGCACAGCCACTCACATGCCTAGCAGCACAGCCACTCACATGCCTAGCAGCACAGCCACTCACATGCCTAGCAGCACAGCCACTCACATGCCTAGCAGCACAGCCACTCACATGCCTAGCAGCACAGCCACTCACATGCCTAGCAGCACAGCCACTCACATGCCTAGCAGCACAGCCACTCACATGCCTAGCAGCACAGCCACTCACATGCCTAGCAGCACAGCCACTCACATGCCTAGCAGCACAGCCACTCACATGCCTAGCAGCACAGCCACTCACATGCCTAGCAGCACAGCCACTCACATGCCTAGCAGCACAGCCACTCACATGCCTAGCAGCACAGCCACTCACATGCCTAGCAGCACAGCCACTCACATGTGTAGCAGCACAGCCACTCACATGCCTAGCAGCACAGCCACTCACATGCCTAGCAGCACAGCCACTCACATGCCTAGCAGCACAGCCACTCACATGCCTAGCAGCACAGCCACTCACATGCCTAGCAGCACAGCCACTCACATGTGTAGCAGCACAGCCACTCACATGCCTAGCAGCACAGCCACTCACATGCCTAGCAGCACAGCCACTCACATGCCTAGCAGCACAGCCACTCACATGCCTAGCAGCACAGCCACTCACATGCCTAGCAGCACAGCCACTCACATGTGTAGCAGCACAGCCACTCACATGCCTAGCAGCACAGCCACTCACATGCCTAGCAGCACAGCCACTCACATGTCTAACAGCACAGCCACTCACATGTCTAACAGCACAGCCACTCACATGTCTAGCAGCACAGCCACTCACATGCCTAGCAGCACAGCCACTCACATGCCTAGCAGCACAGCCACTCACATGCCTAGCAGCACAGCCACTCACATGCCTAGCAGCACAGCCACTCACATGCCTAGCAGCACAGCCACTCACATGCCTAGCAGCACAGCCACTCACATGCCTAGCAGCACAGCCACTCACATGCCTAGCAGCACAGCCACTCACATGCCTAGCAGCACAGCCACTCACATGCCTAGCAGCACAGCCACTCACATGCCTAGCAGCACAGCCACTCACATGTCTAACAGCACAGCCACTCACATGTCTAACAGCACAGCCACTCACATGCCTAGCAGCACAGCCACTCACATGCCTAGCAGCCGAGCCACTCACATGTCTAGCAGCACAGCCATTCACATGTCTAGCAGCACAGCCACTCACATGTCTAGCAGCACAGCCACTCACATGTCTAGCAGCACAGCCACTCACATGCCTAGCAGCACAGCCACTCACATGCCTAGCAGCACAGCCACTCACATGCCTAGCAGCACAGCCACTCACATGCCTAGCAGCACAGCCACTCACATGCCTAGCAGCACAGCCACTCACATGCCTAGCAGCACAGCCACTCACATGCCTAGCAGCACAGCCACTCACATGCCTAGCAGCACAGCCACTCACATGCCTAGCAGCACAGCCACTCACATGCCTAGCAGCACAGCCACTCACATGCCTAGCAGCACAGCCACTCACATGTCTAACAGCACAGCCACTCACATGTCTAACAGCACAGCCACTCACATGTCTAACAGCACGAGGGCGAGCATCTCATGGGCGTCCAGCAGGTGGTGCAGGTAGGCGCGCGTGTGGCGCTCACAGGTGTAGCTAGACATGAGCAAGGGGAGGAACACCTGTTCGGTTCGCCTCGAACACGTTCGAGGCGAACCGAACAGGTTTATTTTTTTGGCTTAAATGGTTCGCCGAACAGTGTTCGAGGTTCGCCCGAACACGTTCGTGTTCGGGCCGCTGCTGCAATTTGCCCCGCAACGAACACGAACGTGTTCGAGGTTCGCCCGAACACGCCTTCATAGGCGAACGGCGAACACTTGTGTCGGCGGAAATCGTTCGCCGAACCGAACAGTGTTCGGTTCGGCTGTTCGAGCTGTTCGACAGAGGACGAACTCGAACCTGTTCGAGTTCGGCCTCTGCTCATCCCTAGGTGTAGCACGCGCACGTGCGGCTGATGGGGATGAAACTGCGCCTGGTAGCGCCCACAGGGGGAGTGGCGGATGGTGGGGGGACAAGTAGTGAAGGAGAGTGAGGGTGGGAGAAGACGACAAGTGAGGGTGGGAGAAGACGACAAGTGAGGGTAAAAGAAGACGACAAGTGAGGGTAAAAGAAGACGACAAGTGAGGGTAAAAGAAGACGACAAGTGAGGGTGGGAGAAGAGTGCATGTAAGCGACAGTGTGAGGGTGCATGTAAGCGGCAGGTTTGCCTCTGACACAGCGTGCCTCTGACACAGCGTGCCTCTGACACAGCGTGCCTCTGACACAGCGTGCCTCTGACACAGCGTGCCTCTGACACAGCGTGCCTCTGACACAGCGTGCCTCTGACACAGCGTGCCTCTGACACAGCGTGCCTCTGACACAGCGTGCCTCTGACACAGCGTGCCTCTGACACAGCGTGCCTCTGACACATGTACCCCAGGCGAGACAATGCTGTAACAATCATAATCTCACTCACTTGTGCGATGAGCACCACAGGTTCATCTTGGACCCCAACGCCTCCTCCCCCTCGCTCTCTTTCCCCACTTCACTGTACACCCCTTCCGCCTCCACTGCCCCGCCATCCCTCTCCTCCTTCCCCTCTCCCTCCCCCTGCGCCACGGCGTGCGGCCACCAGGGAGGGAGGAGAGGCATCGTGGAGGCAAGGCCGAGCAGAGTGAGGTCGTGGGGGTACCTGCAGGGACAGCACAGGGGTGTGCTTTCAGACATGGCATGGCACAGATAGAGCATGGCACGGATAGTGCATGGCACGGATAGGGCACGGCAAGGCGCATGCAGAAACAGACAGGACAGATGCGTGTGGGAAGCAAGGCTTGAAGTGGGTGCACGGGAGGTCGCATGCACGGGAGGGGGGGGCGCATGCATGCATGGGAGGGGGGGGGCATGCATGGGAGGGGGGGGGCATGCATGGGAGGGGGGGGCGCATGCATGCATGGGAGGGGGGGGATGCATGGGAGGGGGGGGGGCATGCATGGGAGGGGGGGGGCATGCATGGGAAGGGGGGGGCCACTGACGAGCAGTCAAAGAGGTCGACGCCCCTGGCCACTGCTTGCAGCACCTCCTCTGCTCGCCGCCATGCCAGGAGGGAAGGGAGGGGGCCGACACACGGTGGCGAGGGGCGGGTGGAGTGCAGGAGATGAGAGATGAGTGCCCGCTGTGGAGCCAGGCGCGGTACATGGCGTGGCGTGGCATGCAAAGAGGAGGTGGGGAGCAGATTGCAGATTGGGGAGAAAGAAAGAAGCAGAGAGCAGAGGAGAGCACGTGAACCATTCAAATGGAGCACCGTGTACCTGGTGTACTCCGTGTACCTGGTGTACACCGTGTACCTGGTGTACTCCGTGTACCTGGTGTGTTGACTCTTGACTCCTCCTCTCTTCTCCCTTGCACTCTTGACAGTGCCTCACCTGCTCACTCTACCTGCTCCTTGAATAGCTTGTACACCTTATGTTGAATGTACCTGGTGTGTTGAGCCCTGCCGTGTGCCTGATTGCCTCCGGTGGAAGCTCTGACTGCGGGCAGTGAGAGGGCGCACGCGCACAGCGCAGCAACGACGAGGGCAGGCACAATTGGAGGAGGGTGGGCACAATTGGAGGAGGGTGGGCACAATTGGAGGAGGGTGGGCACAATTGGAGGAGGGTGGGCACAATTGGAGGAGGGTGGGCACAATTGGAGGAGGGTGGGCACAATTGGAGGAGGGTGGGCCCAATTGGAGGAGGGTGGGCACAATTGGAGGAGGGTGGGCACAATTGGAGGAGGGTGGGCACAATTGGAGGAGGGTGGGCACAATTGGAGGAGGGTGGGCACAATTGGAGGAGGGTGGGCCCAATTGGAGGAGGGTGGGCCCAATTGGAGGAGGGTGGGCACAATTGGAGGAGGGTGGGCACAATTGGAGGAGGGTGGGCACAATTTGGAGGAGGGTGGGCCCAATTGGAGGAGGGTGGGCCCAATTGGAGGAGGGTGGGCACAATTGGAGGAGGGTGGGCACAATTGGAGGAGGGTGGGCACAATTGGAGGAGGGTGGGCACAATTGGAGGAGGGTGGGCACAATTGGAGGAGGGTGGGCACAATTGGAGGAGGGTGGGCCCAATTGGAGGAGGGTGGGCACAATTGGAGGAGGGTGGGCACAATTGGAGGAGGGTGGGCACAATTGGAGGAGGGTGGGCCCAATTGGAGGAGGGTGGGCACAATTGGAGGAGGGTGGGCACAATTGGAGGAGGGTGGGCACAATTGGAGGAGGGTGGGCACAATTGGAGGAGGGTGGGCACAATTGGAGGAGGGTGGGCACAATTGGAGGAGGGTGGGCACAATTGGAGGAGGGTGGGCACAATTGGAGGAGGGTGGGCACAATTTGGAGGAGGGTGGGCACAATTGGAGGAGGGTGGGCCCAATTGGAGGAGGGTGGGCACAATTGGAGGAGGGTGGGCACAATTGGAGGAGGGTGGGCACAATTGGAGGAGGGTGGGCACAATTGGAGGAGGGTGGGCCCAATTGGAGGAGGGTGGGCCCAATTGGAGGAGGGTGGGCACAATTGGAGGAGGGTGGGCCCAATTGGAGGAGGGTGGGCACAATTGGAGGAGGGTGGGCACAATTGGAGGAGGGTGGGCACAATTGGAGGAGGGTGGGCACAATTGGAGGAGGGTGGGCACAATTGGAGGAGGGTGGGCACAATTGGAGGAGGGTGGGCACAATTGGAGGAGGGTGGGCCCAATTGGAGGAGGGTGGGCACAATTGGAGGAGGGTGGGCCCAATTGGAGGAGGGTGGGCACAATTGGAGGAGGGTGGGCCCAATTGGAGGAGGGTGGGCCCAATTGGAGGAGGGTGGGCACAATTGGAGGAGGGTGGGCCCAATTGGAGGAGGGTGGGCACAATTGGAGGAGAGTGGGCACAATTGGAGGAGGGTGGGCACAATTGGAGGAGGGTGGGCACAATTGGAGGAGGGTGGGCACAATTGGAGGAGG